ATACACACTCACACAAACTCACACTCATACACACTCACACAAACTCACACATATACACACACTCACACAAACTCACACTCATACACACTCACACAAACTCACACATATACACACACTCACACAAACTCACACTCATACACACTCACACAAACTCACACATATACACACACTCACACAAACTCACACTCATACACACTCACACAAACTCGCACTCATACACACTCACACAAATTCACACTCATACACACACTCACACAAACTCACACTCATACACACACTCACACAAACTCACACTCATACACACTCACACAAACTCGCACGCATACACACTCACACAAATTCACACTCATACACACACTCACACAAACTCACACTCATATACACACTCACACTCATACATGCACTCACACAAACTCATACACACACTCACACAAACTCACACTCATACACACATTCACTCTCACACAAACTCACACTCATACACACACTCACTCAAATTTACACTCATACACGCACTCACACAAACTCACACTCATACACGCTCTCACACTCACACAAACTCACACAAAATCACACTCATATACACACTCACACTCATACACACATTCATACAAACTCACTCATACACACGCTTACACAAACTCACACTCACACAAACTCACTCTCATATACACAAACTCACTCATACAAACTTGCACTCATATAAACACTCACTCAAACTCACATACACACACACACACACACACACACACACAAAGCTTAGATTTATATGACTTCATTCTCACTGTAATGCATTTTTTCGTACATGTGTGTGTTTTTCCAGGTCTTGCTCTGACGTATATTCTGGAGAACAGCTTCAAAGCTGAATCTGGATCCAGACCTGACGTTCCTAAGATTGGGATTCTGATCACAGATGGGAAATCACAGGACGATGTTCTTTCTCCTGCTCAGAGACTCAGAGACGCTGGGATTGAGCTGTTTGCTATCGGTACCAGAACAAAACCAGCTCTGACTCCGATACGGGTTTGTAAATGAATAGTTTTTTCTGACTGTGTGAATCTGCAGGAGTGAAGAACGCAGATGAGAACGAGCTGAGAGCCATCGCCTCCCCGCCGGAGCAGACACACGTGTATAACGTGGCTGATTATAGCTTTATGTTAGACATCGTGGAGGGACTCACCAGGAGCGTCTGCGAGCGTGTCTCTGAACTCAGCAGAGAGATCAGCGGTGGGTTTCTTGGCTTTCACCGTGGACGAAGCGAAGTCCAGCTCGGGGTTGTCACATGTGGTTGCTCACTCTAGCCCACCGGCCTCCGCTCACTCTAGCCCACCGCTCACTCTAGCCCGCCACCCTCCGCTCACTCAAGCCCCCGGTCTCCGTTCACTCTAGCCCACCGCTCACTCTAGCCTGCCGCTCACTCTAGCCCAC